AACGCACTTTTAAAAAAAACAATAAAAAAAAGGAAACATCAGAACATGAACGACATCATGTTTGTTTTGTTCACGAATTTAGTCTTGAATTTGGTCGCAAGACTGCAAGACAATTTTTGAATGCAACTCAGTTTGGAAAAAATCCGACTATCAGAGTTTTATGTTTTTTTCTGCTGCCGGGATACTTCTCAAAGTGAGTTTGTTTACACCTATTTTGCCGCACCGCTGCGATTAACTATAAGCACAAATTTCTTTGAAACGGCAGTTCAAAGAATGGAAAAAATATTTTGTTCTAGGCAGAGAAATAATTCCCATTTCTCTAACACTCAAAATTTGCCACTATGTTGAATTAAACACAGTTTGTTGTGCTCAATTCTGCATCTAAATCTTCCTCTCCGTTTTCTAATCGATCGCATTATTTATATGCTGTATAACCATATGTCACTCGGTTCAAATTATACAATGCCTTATTATATTATACTTCCTAAAATTCCACATGTCGCTTAACTACTTCATGTAAAATATAGATTCAAAATCACTAATGTCATTCAATATCGCCCAATACTTTTCATTATCTATGTAATTTGTGCTCATCACGCTATTTTTTTAAAATATTTTACAACAGTGCCCTTCCAACCCATACACTTCCTTGTATCAAAATCAAAATTTGAATACCGGTCACAATATACTAATATAAATCTCCACGCCAACTATTCCCGTTTGTCAATCTCCGGGATATGTTCAGTTCCTACAACTACATGTTACTGCCTCTTCCAAGCAGTCCCCTACGTCACATCGTTCATTCCGTATATCTCTCCGCTTGAGGACAAGCTCACTTTGTACCCTTAGGATGAGGTGAAGGTTGCTGTTTGGTTATCCAATCCGCCTAAACCAAATCCTCCACTCAATCAATCTGAAGATAATGTACCGAAATCGAAGTTCTCTATGGTCTCGCCGTAACACGTGTACTCCCTACACACGTAACTCGGAAGACGTTCAACAACAGCCGAACAAGCTCGAGATGTCGGGACGCAGCTAAGCTCCGCCTGCTGCTCTCCCGTGAGCTGGCCGAAAAGGTCAGATAGGAGCCAGTGACCCCCTACGACCGCGCACCGTAAGGCTGCTTAGTCAGTCCTCCCCTTCCCCTTTTTTATAATATATGTAGATAATAAATATATATAATACCAACCTGTACCGCTACACATCAGGTAAGGGAATCGCGAACCCTTAATCCTGACAAATGCAACTCGTGATGCCATGAACAATCCATAATTTTTTCCATGAATAAAAATGGCCGTAAAGCGACATTTTTAAATTACGTTTCATGTTGTTCTTTTTAATCAAAAAGCGAAATATGCTACCAAACAACTTCACTCATCACTATCGTGCTTAAAAGCGACACTTTTTCAGTCCTATGCCGTGGAATGTCAACAAATCAGAGCTAAATGACCCGCAAAAAATTTTTTTCTTTATTAACGAAACTATTTGGTGATTAGAATTTCATTTTGTTAGGCTTGCAAAATATAGTATCTGATTTTACACTAAGATTTTAATTATTATATTTTTGGAAACTTTTTTTTGAATCAGACGGGAAAGTGTATAATCGAAGATTACGTACATTTTTTTGCACTGATCTGATTTGCGCAATCCATAGATAGCCAACTGACATGAGTGAAGCTAGTTTAAGAACCTAGAATTCTGCACACGGAAAGTGAGAGACTACGTTTTCGAGTGAGTGGGATAAATTTTAATTAGTGTCTCCAGATTGAATTTTTTAAAGCAGTTTTTCTATGTCAGAATCACTCAGCATACAAAATCTCTAATTGCTTTTCACTTTAATCAGTGTTTGGGTAAAGCTGAGTGGCATCACATAAAAAAAACTTGAGAGAAAAACACATTGGGGGCACCTTTTGAGAAATTTCATAAAGTTGCAAGACATTAGAAATGAGCACTTTTGGATTCCATCATAAAAATTCATGTTTACTATTCATCACGAGCAATCAGATGATTAAGGAGTAATCAGTTTGAAATAATCCACTATAGCCATTTTCTTAATCATAGTCTCCTCTACCTCTGCCTTAACTTGCGCGATATTCTCACTTGTGGGGCACCTTAGCGCATGGTTGCTTTTGTGTGAGCGCACGGACCTAAAGTTCAAAAGACGAGTAACCGCTTAATTTTTTTACACAAATGTATAGTTGCGGCGTTTCTTCTGGTCGCAGTGACTGACTGTCCCTTATGATTGAGGTAGACAGCATTTAGACAGTGATGCACCAGGAAAAAGCATGTAGTTATTATTTCTGGTAATCACGATTACCAGTACAGTTTACGAAAACTGGTTCTCAATGAAGAAAATTACAATATCGAAATAAATAATCTACCTTTTTTGATGGGCGAAAAGAATTGATTTTTTCAACAAACGTTCAAACTGACTTGTGGAAAATTTAATTGTATCCATGCAGATAATAAGAGGTTGAAACATGCTTTAACAGCGATGCTTCAGAAGTATGAACATCTCAATATCCTTTTTCCATTGCAATCGTATCTTTGTTGAAGTTTGATTCAACGCACCCACAGCAAAATTCATGTCCGCAAAAGCGCTTTTTGAGCAAATAAGCGAGTTCCTTTGATCGAAAATGTTTGAAGTCGTGCTCTCAACGAATTTAAGCAGCATTTAGGTTTTTCAATCTCATTTACTTAACATCATGTTCTGTCACAGATGAAAGTTTTTTTCAATGATTATTTACAAAGTTCACTACAGATCAGTATTAGACCTTCGGTGACAAAAGTAGGAAAACTTGGCAAAATTTTGGCTGAAAAAAATGATATTGATTTTTGAAACTATGCTTGAGATTTTATTTTAGATTATCTTTGGTTAGGTGAAAACTGTTTTTCCAAAATCTGAAAAGAATAATAGCACCAATGGAACTTAGAGTTTTGATTCAGAAGGATATATTTCTTTTAGAATGCATACGAGTTGTCGGAAGAAAAAGATGTCTTGCATTACAATGAGGAAAATGTTTTGTCTATTTCCAAGAAAGTTTTTTTTTCAGCCAAAACCTTGATTTTGCTGACTAGACCTTATCGCGACGTTGGATATCAATCTGACTGAGTTTGCCGATGAATAAGATGCTGATCACGGCTGTCGCTGTTGATGCACAACTTCTCGGCATAGGAAGACAGCCAGATGAGCCGTAAATCAATTGTGTGTAAAGTTCATCCGCATATTCAACAGGCGCATAGGGATATTTGTCAGGCCCTAAGGTCAGCAGCTGCTAGCTTCTACAATTGTCACCAGATTTACTGCTATTTCGAACGCGCGCAGACACTTGCTGGAACGGATTAGCATAAAGGATTTGGAGCTCTAGGCCATTTGTAATAGCCGGGTATGCGATACGTCGGCAGATACTATCTTTCCGGACGAGTTATACTGCAGATTTTGTACTGTAGCTACGAACGAGCAAGTCCATGTCTAAAAATAAAGATAAAATGCGTTTGTTTTCTAAAAAGCCGATGCAATAAATTCGCGATACTCTAAAAATTACGGAAATACGTGAAAACATCCTAAAGAAAAACGTGAATTAGAGCGAAAGTTCAAATATACGAAAAAAAAACCGCAAAAGAAATGAATTTTACCCGTAGAATTCAGTTTTGCATAGGGATTCTGAAGATATACAGATTTGGCTCAGTTATGACTATGCGGAACTGTTTATAAAAAAAATTTACATTTTTTCAGTCACTTACATATAATTGCTAAGTGTTGATTTTGCGCTTCATTGTAATATATATATATAGCTAAATGATGCGTCATTATTTTTAAAAAAATTGGGGACAAATGTGACTGCTCGCTGGACTACGGTAGGATCTGTCTATGAAATAATTCAATCAGAGATCATTAGTATATCCGGTGATGGTAACTTTGAGATTGACTCGATCAAAGACCATCACCCATTTGTGAATGCAATTTTTCTTTCGGTACCTTTTTTCTGAAATGTTATTTTTTTTTTCAAGAAAAGGAAGGAGAATTTCTATAATCACAGCACACTATTAGTCGTCATTACTATCAGATAAATAAAAAAACACTCACTCATTAGTTCGCTTGACTTGGGTGGAAGTTGTTGTCGAGGATGTCGAGGAGTGGGAAATTCTTTTTTTTTTGGAGCAGAAATTTTGACTACAGCTCAAAAAAGAAAAAAATCTTCCCGGGACTTCCATGTCAGGTATAAGGGTTCATGACGCCCTTACCTGATGTGTAGCGGGTTTAAGCCTTACTATAATGTTCATCATAAATAGTTATATACAAAAGGGGGAAAGGGGAAAGGGAAAGACGACCGGCTACTGCCGGCGGTCGAAGGTCTGGCCAGAGGTTGGCTGTCTTCGGCCAACCTCCTTCTCGAGCAGCTGTTGTAGATGGCTGCGTCCCGACACGTTGTTCCCAAAGTTTTGAGGTTTTTAGGAATAGTACGTTGTTCTTTGTGTTCACACTTTTGTTTTGCCCTTCTGTTACTGATAGATAGTACCAAGCTGTGCTTTTTGTTCCTAATAAAACAGATTTATTGAGTGCATTCTCGAGATGGAAAGATGCACCAAGAGATGAGAAGATCGGATAGGTATTAGGTAGTAGTACACATTCTCACAGTCCTTCCTCTAGATAAGATTCTGACAAGTTAGTAGTAAGGATGTCGTCGGTCGAGGTGTCGAAGCTCAAGTCAGCTTCACTTACGAAGTCTTGCGCATTCCTTTGAATTGATAAAAAATGAGCAGATCTTCATTCATAACTTGTCAGTTAAAATAACTTTACAAAATTGTGGATATTTCAAGAGACTTCAACGGTTGACCAAGTCTGCTACTCATCGGGAAGCCCAAAAAAAACGAATAACAACAAGCATTGATTAGCAAATGAAACAAAAGTCACCATAGACAAAAAGAAGCGTTTGCAAAAATAATACGCAGTGTCTACAGCTGTCATAGAGATGAGATGCATTATGTTACGAGCATTCTTATTCTTCCTGATCTTGATAAGTCTCGTTCGCAACTGTTCCGTCGAGATCGCCTTCTTCGTCAGCAGTGGGTTCTTGATATTGTTGGTATTCGGAGACCAAATCGCTCATATTCGACTCAGCTTCAGTGAACTCCATCATATTACCTGCATTCGCATCCTAAAACAGGACAAAAGTCTTCTTTTTCAAACCACGATATAATTTGCAAATTTTGAAAATTTTGCAAATCTGAATCAAAAATAGATGTATTACCTCGATAAACCGTATTGTATCGCCATTGATGAGGCACAGGAATAAGACAGGCAATCGTTGTAGAATGTCTGTGCTTGCTGCAAATTTATCGTCCGACACAATACGATCTTCGCTGACAGGCAAACATAAGGAATCTAACAACATTCGCCGCACTCGTGATCGGGCAATCTGAAGGAGGAGGAGAATTTTCTATACAAAACATGAACATAAGTAAAATGGAATGACTATATATGCAAGTAAAATGGAATGACTATATCTGCACAATGCCATAAGTTATACAAACTTTCTCACCCCCACCTTAACAAATGTAAAATGAGTAGAATCGCAATCATGCCAGCTCAAGTCACACTCGGGTTCCGAATTGCAAGCGCTCAGCAACCATTGCATCCATCGGCATGGAATTTGCTCCGCCAGCCCTTGCAGAAAGGCTGCAAAACACTTACTTTCATTATAGTAACATATGCGTAACCAAACGAACATATCAAAGGCCTCTCGATGTCTACTCTATCCATACCACTGCACAGGCGCAGATTCATTATTTTGTAGAGATGATACCTGACAGACTGAAGTAAAATACGTTGTAAACTATGGGACAAATTGCAACTGTTCTTCATCATACACCCACGTCAAAAGATTCCCACACTCGTGTTTCTCTCAACACGTCGGTAAACTCGGATCTCACTGCGAACGCCTCGTCAGGGCCTTGAACTGAAAGCAATATAATGAATGGCTATAGAAAACGCAACTCCTTTTAAATCTCTGATCTGTTGTCTAGCATTTCAACTTACTGGAATAAATTCAAATCTTGCTCGGTTCTGCTGCCTATTAGGCATAGTAGTCCACTATATCCTACAGGAGCAAAGTCGAAAAAATATATTCTCTATTGGAACTAGAATATATATGAATAAGTTTCCAAGCAGAATCTGGTGAAGCCTCTCTCGGCGGGATAGGCGAGAAAGGAGAAAGACTTTAGACGTCGTAGTCAAAACGTAAATTACTGTTCCGACATGCTGATAAAGAAAATTCAAAGTAATCAAATGACTCAACGTCTAAGAAAAAGCAAAATCAGAGACTTACAGAAAGAAAGACACTGGTTGGCATCCACAACACTGTATAGTACAAGAAAGTCCAAACACACCTTGATTTCATGGCCGCCTACTATCTGCCTTATTGTTATTCAAACTGGATGCGGGAAACTGTGCTTTAGATTCACCACTCACCTCTGAAAATAGTAAATTACTTACTTCGCTTCATAACTGCAAAATAAAACCATCATTCCGGTTCATTTCAAAACTATTCTGATAGTAATTGCTGTATCTAACCTTTTGGAAGAAGACTACCGCAACACTTGAGTTAAAGGAAAAAAACTTCTTTTTTCATTACTGCTAGGCCGGGTGAAGCTTTTAAAATCGAATAAAATCACGATTCTTACCATCTTTCAAAGCAACATCAGCAATCTTCTGCACTTCAAGCAAATCCACTCCTTGCCTGCCATTCAAATCTAATCGGCTGAGCAAGAAGTTTAGCTTCATGGACTGCGTGTTCACATCTTCAGAATTATTGAAAATACCAGTGCGCCACCTCTGCTTCGCAGAGGCTCGCACTGGCCCTACTTTCCGTATCCCTTACTCATTCCCGCATAATAGTGACATTGAAACTCACCGCGTTATGCAGGCTATCACGAATAATTTGTAAACAGCTACTCATTCCTAGAGCTTTTTTGTGTGAGATCGGTATTCTCACGGGGATGAAACTCTCAGAAGAATAAATGCAAATTCGAATAGGTTTGTGGACTATTTGTGGCTTGGTAGTCGCTATAATGGCAATAATCATCGTGGGCTACATCTCTGTGCAAAAACCTTCTCAAGTGATCACGTAAAATCTTGGGAAATTGAACATTTACGCAACTAATTCTTTTTGGCGCCATCTTCGTAAAGTAATCAACTTCAGTTGAATTTTCTGGGCTAAAGTCCATGGCTTGTACATTAGCTTGTCAAACATATGCACGACTTTGCAAAAAATTTATATACGGACCCAATTTTGCTGGTCAGAAGTTAAGTGGACCCGTTTCATGCGCAATTTCTAGGGGATCCACTTATCGGATCCGCTTGTGCTTTTGCAAAATGGACTTTCCTGCTGCTAGGATGTACTACGCAAAATTTGGGCTCAAAGGTTGGCTGGAACTCTCCCTACGAATTTCGTAACGGACAGACAGACACACACACACACACACAAAAAAACGTAAACAGCCCTTAGCCCGTTATTATAAGTTATGATAAGTCGTAATTTGCGAGGTTTGCCGTTGGCCATCGCAGTTGGCAACGGTGGGATGTGATCCCTATAAGCGTCCCGTAAAGCAAGCGACTGTAGTCGTTCCTCCAATTCAAGTATCTGTACACCAAAACCACCGACAGTCAGACTGCATTCAAAAAGAAAAGTACGATTACACTTCACACATACGTGTTCGTTATCTGCATTGCAAGACTGTGCCGGTTCAACCAGATCTGAGGAAGAATTAGACCACCCACAAGCACTTTCTGCCGGAACCCCTTCCATAGACTGAAACTTCTTCAATAGATTGATTAGAGGACAATTTCAAATTAATCCACCTGCATAGAAGACTTTCTCACATTATTTCCTGTAAGTTCTGCTCCTTCCAGAAGTGGTGTACACCAACACAGCGGCATAGTTGTGCCTGCGTTCTCCATACACTTTTCGTACAGCTTCCCGTATGAAAGATTCGAATATGCGCTTCTAACATTTTTGTACCTGAAAAAAGCTTCCTTAGTCTACATCACTGATAATATAGATCAAACTTACATGTTTATCCTTGCTTTCATGAGCTCAGAAGAAATAAACTTTTCCCGAAGTTCCTCTGTGAAAAAGATCTCTTCAGACGAAAAACTGGTACAGGCAATCGTCTAAAATGTTACAATTAGATTCTGTGATGCAAAAACCCAAGACTCACTCGGGAAGGATCAAAGGACATTCTTTTATGTTGCACCTCAAAAATCTTGCCAACGATATCATCCTCACTGCTAATACGCGAAGTAGATGAAGTAGGCGGCCATACTTAGCATGAATGTGAATCCAAAAGCTCTCAGTAACTGATGAATTGGCGGGTAGCAATACGCAGCATGAGGAGGTAGAAGTAATGCAAAGTGAAAATTTTACAAGCAAAGTAAACACTAATGCCCAACGAAACTCGCCAGTCTTTAAGGGAACTTCGAAGGCGAGTTCTCATTGATAGAGAAGATCGTTACCGTTATCGTGATTGGCAGCAAACACATTGAGACTTCACATGGTGACACGATGGTGGTTGATTTGGTTCACATTTTTTGTTTATTCCACTGCATTAATGACTTCTCGTTTTGCTTTCATCTTTGTGGAACGCTTTGAGCGTATGAATGTAAAATGAAGTGAATTTTCAAGTGGTCAAATTATCAGAATTGTGAGGTGATCGATATTTGCTGCAAATTCACGCCAGTATGCAGTGCTTAAAATGTTTAAAAGCATACAGCATTTTGACTTCGTCCACTCCGCAAATCGTGGACACCTTCTTCTTGGCATGTGGTACCAACAATTATACAGAAAGTCCTTTAGACGTCGTGCGCATATACACCTACCTCCCTTATGCTCTAACTCTCTAGTTCAGGGCTCGGCATGAGGTGGCTTTTTTAATTTTTCAAAAACGAAGTCCCTGTAGACTTCGGCGCAAAAATACGATATCACCTATGACGCGATCGTGAATGGATCGACCGAATAGCGAAAAATAATGAGACAAAACGTAAAGGTAACATCAAACAGACGGAAAAAAACTAAGGATATCCCTATTCTCCGAATTGGCGGCATGCTGTGTCCGGCGCGCACCCTTGCGCACTTGGAGCAGGCTTGCCGCCACCATACAAAATATTCGGAGGGCCGTAACTACGCGAGGAAGAGGGGGTTTGGGGAGATTCAAAGATTCGGTTGTAGGGTTTTTGATGTAGAATGTTATTATGTTAAACATATGAAAAAATTATGTGAAGGAAGGAAAATTTATGACCTTTTCTTTTTACAACCACCTCAGGTGGCTGTCCAGGTGGATGTAAAGCCACCTAATTCCGAAAAAAGTTTGCCACGCCTTCAGTTTTTTTGCACATAGTCCTAGCTCTCTAATACCCATCTACACACCAATTTTGGTGTCATTTCATTTTCTCTTCACTGTAAACAAGCCTTTTGTTTATTTCGGGGCAAGTTTGAATTCGCGCGCTGAACCGGTGAACATGTTAAAACAGGCGATCGGTTTATACAGATCGATAAGGCAGAAATGACAGTTTGCATCTTCCATAGAAGATGGGTGACATAAAGGCAGAAGGCGATTATGTGTGTGTGTGGGGGGGGGGGTTTCCGCTTCAACGACATCCCCCTTGCTTTCTATTCCAAAACGATATCCAGCTTGCCCCGTAAGCCACCTGTGCCGAGCCCTGCTCTAGTTCCTTTCAAGCGGTTTTTTCGTGCATTTATTAGAACTTGTTTCTGCCTACAATGTAGACAAGTCGCCAATCTTCACAGTGCCTGTAAAATGAGAAAAGAAACCATTTTTCGGCTTAGGATCTTCTTACTTGGAATGATAAGCAGAAAAGCGCAGACAACATTCCCTATAGAAATGACAAGAAGCATGAAAATTGAAAGGATGTGCCAAACTAGATAAGCACAGATGTCGTTTCGGATCAAAAAGAACATGATTTCTCTTTTTTATTGCTAGTCTTTTTCCTGTTTGTTTCCTTCTTAACAATATGCACTTTCGATATGTGACAGCGTTTGAGACTGCAAGAAGAAAATTCGCTTTCCCTTGTTATCCCAAAGTGCGAAACTGCTGGTCTTAAAAGTCTGCAAGTAAAAATGCAGCCAAAGTGTTTCAACCTTACTGCAGCGTGTTCCTCGGTACTCAACAGTCTTTGCTTTTTATTCAGCTTACCTCTTCCTCCCCTCGGTTATTCAAACAAATTTCACTTTTATGGAAGACAAGGATTCAAACAAATGCCACTTTTGAGCTCTTTCACTAGACAATCAAGGGTATTGGTCCGCTATATCAAGGGTTTTAGCCTTTCAACATTTGATTGCACAGAAACAAAATATGCCGTACGTGGTAAGTTACTGTTGAGAGTAGGTGCTTGCATGTAGCCGAGCTTGTTTTCGATTTGAGCAGCGAAACATTAACGTTTATTCGAACGTAACCCAGTTTTTATACAGTGGGCCCTTAAAGTCGATCAAGTCTTCACTCGAGGACGTGATGAAGTCGTGTTCACTCGATGCGCTCGAACTCGATGAGCTCGATGAGCTCTTTGGTCCCACTGGGCTCGGTGAGGTAGAAATGACATCTTCGAAATCTTTTCGCCTCATTTCAAACATGCATTTACTGACGCATTTTCTGAAATTTCTCCCTCTTCGAAAGAAAATCCCAAGGAAAAGCTTCTTCGGGTGTTGCTTCTTGCATCCTTTGTAGCACTGTAAAAAATGATAAAACTGCTAGCAATGGTTGCTGCTACTAGATACATATAGTAATCAGTGATGTCAGGGAGGGAGGGAGGGGGGGGGGGGGGGGGGAGAGGGGGAGGGCAATGGAAAAAGTTTTCGAATGGAGGTGCGTGGCTAACGACAAATAAATTCTTGCGGCCCTACAATCCCAAGATTTTATAAAAAAGGAGCGCGACGGCAACCACCCCGAAAAAAATTAGCAAGGCTGGTTTGGATTTTTTCTTCAAAAAATTTTGAAAGTTGCCCTCAACTATGTACAAGGATAGACAACTTTGCACAATTTTGAAACACAGCGACGCATTCTAAATTGGAGGGCTTTCCCTCCCTCTCCCTCTTAAATTCGCCATTGATAATAGTCGGAAAAAAGGGGTGCAGCTTTCTTTACATTTTGAACTTCTCAACTTGATCAAACACATTGAAAGCCATATAGATGTGGCCTTCTCGTACTATTTTGGATGCACGATTTCTGCCACTAGTAAACCATAAATATAGCGTTTCAAAAAAGCAAAACAGTTGACAATTTTTTCTATTCTTTCTTACGGTTTGTGGAATTGTTGCAAATAAATATGGCTTGAGTGTATGGCAACTTGGAAAGAGTGGTCATTTGAAGTTGAGCCAAGTTTTTCTCCAGAAAATAATTTTTCTATGACTGAATGGTGCAAAGAGCAAAACAACCAGGTCTTCTGATCAGAATTTGAAATCGTGCTCAGAAATCAAATTGTAGCTGACTATGAAATGAGCCTTAAAAGCTAGTGTACCAAACTACGACAACTTTTACCCCACCCATAAGCGATGTTTTCTACACTTTCACATGCTACTGCGCAACCGCTCGTAGAACTTTATAATTGAAGTGATTTGCATTCCGGTAGCTCTAAAATCGTACACGAGTAAATGGCTATATACATATATTAGGTCAATCCAAAAGTTCTTTCCGTTTCTTCAAATTGTCACAGAAATACGTGGGGTAAAAGCAGGCAAATGTTTCAAAAACTATCCGACGCAGCCTTTTCTACTCTTTTTGGCAATCATGTTCTGTGCTGCTTGCTCTTATGGCTACTGAAATAATTGCCGATATTTTGAACCTATGGTTTCTCCCATGTCCAGTTTTGGTAATTTCAGAGTTTTTCTTCTGGATTTTCGAAAAAGTTTTGATAGCAATCAGATAGCGTAAAGAAAGTGCAATGCAGTGCAATTTTTTGGCACTTATAGCCGGCTTATAACCACTTCTCAAAATTTTCGAAATTATATTTTTGATGCTATCAAATTCACTTTTGGTCATACCGAAACTCATATAACATTAGGCTGAGCACAGCTAAGGTGTCATTCGACGTTCAGCTTCTTCTCCTCTTTCTAACAGGTGTATTTTCTTCCCAATTTGTGGAATCTTCGGCAACACTACCATAACTCTTGATTTTGAACCCGCCCCGGGCTGTAACTGTGTAATGCGATATTTGATATTTTGAAAGGTAAACGCTCTGATGCTTTGTAAAGTTGGTGTACTGTCATAATCGATCTTTGAAACTTTCACATATCGACGATTTGTTAGTGTTTAGAGCGTTTGTGTATTTTGCGACTTTGCAAAAGTTTATCTCTGAAAATTACTGAGAAGCCAGTTGAAGATGCAAGAAAAATTGGGTTGCATCGCACTTTGCTTGCGCTAAGTAACTGCTATCAAAGCTTTTCTAAAAGTTTTATAAAGATTTCAAATTGCCAAAGTTGGACATGGTAAAAACCATCTTATATATAAAGCTGAATGTCTGTTTGTCTGTCTGTCTGTATGTCTGTCTGTCTGTCTGTATGTATGTATGTACGTATGTTCCGAATAGAAAATTCCATTTCTGAACCGATCCGGACCAAACTTGGCACACATACACTACGGGCCCCGGCGGGTGTCATAGGCTACTTTTCGTCATCGGTCGATATCGATTTTATCGATTTTTATCGATTTTTTGCTGAGTTCACCTACGGGGCTGGGAGTTGGCACAGGGGGGTAATCGAGCATGGGGATTCCGAATACAATATTGGTTTTCAGGATTATCGATTACTTTTATCGATTTTATCGATTTTTTTGCAAAGTTTGAGCTACGGGGCTGGGAGTTGGCACAGGGGGGTAATCGAGCATGGGGATTCCGAATACAGTATTGGTTTTCAGGATTATCGATTACTTTTATCGATTTTATCGATTTTTTTGCAAAGTTTGAGCTAGGGGGCTGAGAGTTGGCACAGGAAGGTAATCGAGCATGCTGATCACCCCCAAGGGGGGTGATCAGCATGCTCGATTACAACCCTGTGCCAAATTCCAGTCCCCTAGCTCAAATTTTCAAAAAATCGATTAAATCGATAAAAGTAATGGACAATCTTGAAAACTAATATTGTATTCGTAATCTGCATGCTCGACTACCCCCCTGTGCAAACTCCCAGCCCCGCAGGTCAAACTTTACAAAAAAAATCGATAAAATCGATAAAAGTAATGGACGATCCTGAAAACTAATATTGTGTTCGTAATCAGCATGCTCGATTACCCCCTGTGCAAAATCCCAGCCTCGCATGTCAAAATTTACAAAAAATCGATAAAATCAATAAAAGTAATCGATAATTCTGAAAACTAATATTGTATTCGGAATCCCCATGCTCACTTCCCCCCCCCCTGTGCCAACTCCTAGCCCTGTAGGTGAACTCTGCAAAAAAATCGATAAAAATCGGTTAAATCGACATCGATCGATAACGAAAAGTGGACTGTGACACCCGCCGGGGCCCGAAGTGTATGTGTGCCAAGTTTGGTCCGGATACGGCGGAGCCGGGTAAGCCAGCTAGTAGATTCATAATTTCGGCAATTGTTTCAGTGACCGCAAGAGTAATCAGCACAGAAACATGATCAAAATAGAAGAAGGAAGCTGCGCGTGACAATGTGAAACGTTTGCGTACCTATACTTTACGAATTCTTATGATAGCTTGCAAAAAGGGAAAGACTTTTGGAACGAGCTAATATGTTGTCGAGAGAGAGTTGTGTGTTCCGATGTGTGCCTAAACTGTTAATTCAATCAGGTCTTAATTTGAGAAAATTGTAGCTAATATTTGTGCCCATAACTTTCCGTCTTTTTTATGAAACAACCGACCTTATCGAAACTGTCCTCATCGAAATAAAAGTTCCAATAATCTTGGAACGCTCCTCTGAACCTCCTTTCCCATCCTGGAGCAATTGGCGGTCCACCAAAATTTTTAATTTTTCCTTTTCCAGCAAAAGTCACATGAATCAGGATCAAAAAGAGTAGTACTTTGTAAAACATTGATTTCTGAAATAAGATATACTGTATAATACAGAAATTAAGCTGGAAGTAGAGACCCACTGCTGTGTGCCCGCACTAATTGGGTATTTAAAAACAAAACACTTTAGTGGGTTGCCAATTCCCTTAAATACAGACTTTGTATGATACAGCTGCTGCGTTCCTTCATGTGACAAAAAAGGGCATTTCGCTAGCATTGACAAAATGGCTAATTCAAATAATTTACCGTATGTACAAGGAATAGAGTAAGTTAATGAGGCAGCTGTACGCTTGAGTAATCATTACCCTTATCGTATAGCAACGAACATTAGCAAGCAAAAGTATATGTTTATGCAATAGAGAACTAGTCGAATATAATCATGTAGTTGTGTCCTTTTATTCGAAACGTGACAATTTGCTATTACCACCATAGAATCTGTTTGAAGGGAGTTGTTTATACTTCACTGATCGATTTCGACATAAACGTAGATAGATCTTTCCAATACCTCACGATTTGTGCGTGATAACCGCGAAATGCTAGAATTTGATTCCATGCAGGTTGAACTGTGAAAGCGCACGTTCTCCACAGAAAACACTCCCCGTTCCCCTACTTGCAGGCCCGTCTTAAAGGCAGTGGATCAGCAGATTGGACCTCTGTCAGATTTGGTAGTGTTAGTTAGCAGACCCCCCCCCCTCCCTCGAACACACCGTAGCCCCAACCCCACCCTCCATTTTATGCTCTAACAAGGAAAGGATACTTGGTGTCCGTGGCCTTTTGAGATGAGATGTATACCATTTCACTCGCCTTGAAGCGCTGAATCCGAATCTGACTTCCGTTTTTGCTAAAGGTTTTTCTGAAAAAAGTTGTAAAGGATTTTCGCGCCAAAGGAGATATGGCTCTAAATGCCAAAACTGCCGCTAAGATATGGTGTAGTGGCTAGTGCGATAGCGTCGCAAGTTAATGCAGGTTTAGGTTTGAGTCCTTTTGTGTTTTTAAGTTTTGCATTGCCTCAATCAGCTTCTTTTTGAAAGTCAGGCATCTTCGACCGCATTTCTCTTAGGCCCCGGGCAGACTTCACGCGATTTGATCTTCGCGATTCAGTCGCCAAGATTTCCATTCATTTTCATTTCACATTCAAAAATTTCGGGCTGGAAAAGTATCACAACCGAAACGCAAGTTGATCGGCATGGAATGATGTTGTAACAGTTGTCTCGTCGCGCTTTAGTCGCGACGATCAAATCGCGTGAAGTGTGCCCGGGGCCTTAGGCGACCATTGACGCGAAAATCCTTCATAACTTGTTCTGAAGGAATGATTAGCAGAAATGGAAGCCAGATTCGGAATCAGCAATCCAAGACGAATGTGATAGTATACCATTCATCTCAAAAGGACCGGACATCAAGTATCGTTGCCTTGTAAGTTCTGTAGTGGAGATTCAAATCCACCAGCACCGCCCACTTCCACTGAGTGGGCGTTATTGGTGGAGTTTTGAAGCACTTTTTCAGGACTTAGCGCATGAATTGGAGGGTGGGGTTGGGGCTACGGTGTATTCGGGGGTCTACTACCTAACATTGCCATCAAAATCTGAGAGAGGTCCATTCTGCTAATCCACTGCCTTTAAAGGCGCCGCCCGCTCAGGACGCTCCCATGTTTTCACAACCCCCGGGGGCTTCTATATATAGACTATAGTCCCTTCTCCAAGGTGGAATAATGAAGGAAATTCTTCTTTGTAGAGAAGAAGGTTTAGTAGTGGTAACCATATAAAAAACAGCTATTTAATGCTTAAAGGTAAGTTAATAGGGTGTGGCACAAGCCCTAAAAAGCTGTGACAACCACAGCTTTTTTGGGGTTGTGCTACACCCCATCAACTTACCTCCAGAGAAAATATTAGCGAACAAATTGTATACACTCTAGCTGCCAAAATCTCATAGTCTTATAGAAGTGACTAGAGCTTGATTCGTCTTCTTTCGTTTGGGCACTAGTTTGAGCGCTTGGAAGCACAACCACTGTAAGCGAAAAATGGAAATGGGATTTTGGCTTGCTCCTAATTCTATAGTTCAATGTTTGGTTGAAGCAGGACTCATGGTATGAACAAATAGGGAATAGTGCGCATTGAACAAAAAGAAGTAGCTAATTCACTTTTAAGTTATATAGTTGACCACGCTTGTACATAGAAGATTATTCATTGGAGTGGCCCAATATCTGAAACCATCAGAATTCTAAGACTTGCCCATAGGAGTTACTTGACATGATAATCGTGAAAAAAATGCTAATTGTGTTTGGTAGAGCCTCTATGTCTTGCTTACTAGGCACAATGCTGCGCGGGGGATGAGGGGGGGGGGGGGTGGGGGAGTGTAGGCGGCGGTTGTGTACAGGGCATTCGAGAAATCGTGACGATGGCGCGACCGCACACCACGCACCCGCACTCTCGACAACTGCATTTTTGGTTTTCGTCTCTACTCGAGTGGTTTTCTGCTTACGTATGTCGGTATTTAGGTTGGAAGTGACTGAGCCAAGCACTGAAGTGATGCTTTTTTCTTTGAGAGTTATATGCTCCTGTAGGAGCATAGACCACAGTCAAATCCGTCGTCACGACTTTCTAAATGATCTATCGGTTGTTCACACGATTATAGCGGGCAAAGGCGTTGCACCTCTAAAGCGGCGCGGTTTTGGTAGCGAGAGATCACTCCTTCCAATGTGAGGATGGAGGAAAATCAGGTGTTTATCGACTTTGATCAGCTCGCATCCTAGTCCGCAAGTCGGCCCGCTACAATTGAGGAAGGGACGATATCTATAAAGCACTCCTTGCTCGACCCTGTTGGCAACGCACCAACCAGCGGTACCGTGCTACCGCCGGCCGGTGCAAATTTCTGTGTTTAGGCGTAGAAACTGCGACATCGACGCATATTTACGGAGAGTTTTTGAAAAACTGAGATGATTGAAGAAAAGGCTTTGGTTTTGCTCTTTGACAGCTTACCCGAGTAATCTCTGTTTTGTTATCGGTACGACTAAAATTTGTATTGTCATGTTTGCCCACAGAGGCATCTGTGGATGTGTGGATCCTAAGCTGTGGATTAACATTTCTTTTGATATGTTATTCACCATTGGTCTTCCCATTCCGATCCTTGCCGCATGCATATTTTAGTACTCACAAAATAGAATTCTTAACTTAAATTTTCGACAGTATAGGTTTTCTTCCTGGTTTTCCTGCCCAAGCATCCGTTTCAGTGATCTTCTTCCTCTCTCTCTCTCTCGTTGCTGAAATATCAGATCCTCTTCATCCCTTCCTATTGACGTTCGTTAATGTGACAGTCATTGTTTCTGTTCTCGAGGAGTGTGCAGTGTTATTCTGTTCACTGTCATGTCTTAAAGGCAGCGTCCAGGCAGATCTGGACCTATGGGGATTTTACGTGGAAAGTGCTTTTGGGGCCCTAACTAAGGCACTGCAGGCCCAAGCGGCAGCGCAGGTAGTGCTCTAACGGCTGAGATATTTTCCTCGAAACTGGACCCCGTGATCGTATTCGCGTTTTGCCTAGGACACACGCTTTGCGCCATGAATCCATGCAAACGGGGTCCAGTTTCGAGGGGAATATCTCAGCCGTTAGAGCACTACCTGAGCTGCCGTTGGGCAGTGGCTTAGTTAGAGCCCCAAAATTACTATCCACGTGAGATCCCTATGTGTCCAGACTTGCCTGGACCTTTAAGGGCCGAGCGTACTTCACGCGATTTCAGTCGCGACGCGATTTGGCAAGAATCCAACTCTCTATAACTCACTGTAAGCACATTTTAAATGTACAGAAGATAGGGTATTTTATCAATCCACGTCAGTTATGCACACTATGCATGTGCAGTTTGCTAGTGTTGGATCTGAACATTTCTGGCGAATTGCCAAACCGCGCCGCGACTGAAATCGCGTGAAGTATGCCCGACCCTCTACTATGGTGGAATATATACGGGGAACGGTCAGGAGTCACGGTCGGCGCGAATTTTTCGCGAAGCGATGCCGCAAGCGATGTCAGCAAAACAGAAGCTAGCACTCCTGGCGCAGTCTTACTTATGGCACGAGCCATGTATCTGCCCCCACCCCCCACCCCCCTAGACTGGCGCCGTGCCACTTTAGCTCCGGGCAGTTTTATGGGGTACAAAATTTAGACGCGACGTGCGCGGCGAAGCGGCGCGGCACGCGGCGTGACTCCTGACATGGAGCCATATATACCACGTCTTTGTCTAGAGCTGTACCATTCGAGGAATTTGCGTCATCATCCTTTCGTTCCATTTGTTCTTGTCTGTTTTTTTTTTTGAGTTTTAAGCAGTGATGCAAAGACTTTTATCTGTTGTTTCAGTCATTAAACAAGCTATTACATCACCTCGATGTCTGGAAAAGTACTTGATGGTTGCATATACAACTCTACACGCATAAATCAGTTTTACTTGAACTACTTCGATTTCTTGGCGCAGGTGAGAGGTTGGTTCTATTTTGCGCATGTTAATACTAGTTTATGGCTAAGGTTTAGACCTAGGTTGTTTCGCTCCGGGTTGCTGTAGCTAACAATGGTGCAACGCGCCTGCACATTCTTCGAGTTTGGGATGGGCATGAATCTATCAAGAGGTATCTGGCCTTCACTTTTACGCATTTTTCCTTCATCTCTTTTTTCAAGGCAAGATTATGATGCTAGCTGGATTATATCGTTAAATGTGGAAAACTATGTCATCCCCTCTGCTGATCAGTTCACGAGCATTCCTAAATCCTACTTCTTTGATATAATTCTATATGGTGAGTGGATACGGCGAGCTGCATCTTTGAAGGTCAGTGCATAACCTGTTTTTCTTTCTTGTTTTAAGGTAAGCCGACCTTGCAGAATTTTATCAATGCGCATAGATGTTAAATTTCATCAGATTTTTTTTAAAGTGTTTTCCATGCCAAAAAAAAATGCTCTTGCATAAGTAGCTGCATCTGCACCTATTTCGCGGTGGCAGAGACAACAATCTTGTTTTTACTCTACCTTTTTGCTCTATCTTCTTTAAGCTAATTTACTTTGTTGAGATATAGTAAACCACAATTGGGCTCACAAATGTGTGTTTTTTGTAGAGTACAGAGTGTCAATTTTTTTGGCTCTTTGTTATCCTACATGCATGCATCAACCTTATCAAAAATTCCGAATTTTCTTTCTCCTTTCCCTTTAAAAAATGGTGTCGTGAACTCAAAGAAAAGAGTCTACTCAGACCCTTACATAAGCATTCAATTCACAAGAGAATGACCAGAAATCGAAGTAGTCATCTCAAACAGATTACATACCATTAGCTGCAGCTTAAAAAGTTGATCTCGAGTCTTCATTTCATATATGCTTAGCGCTTATGTGGGCGAAGTTATGAGCTGTTAAAAGCCGTCATTTTGCCAATATCGTGCATGCGAAACGCAAATTTGGCGGTACAGAGCGATGTTTGGCTTAACGTTGCCCAAAACATGCAGCAGATTACTTTATATTATTAAAGCCTAAAGATGATCTAAAAGTGCATCAATGTGCTCAATCTCGCAATTTTCATGTACGATTTTTTCGCAATAAAGCTGCTCATAAATTTGTCCACAAAGGCGCTAAGCAGATATGATACAGATTGGAAATCGTTGAATGCTGCATCGAATGGCAGGCAGCTTGCTTGGGTTGACCACTTCGATTCCTGACCACTCCTTTGTTAGCAGATTGAAATCTACAGTTTTTGAGGTCATCAACCGCTTGATTTCCCAAAAATTAAATGAGTAGGTCTTGAAGAGAGTCAGTTTTTAGTTAACGACATCTGTGTAGTCGCTGCATCATTCCAGAGTGGTGCTATTGTCGTCCTTCGAAATCTTCACTTCTACCTTCGTGCAGGTTATAGTTGTCCTGTGCTAGTCTTGCATGAAGGAGACAAGTTCGGACGCGGTATCATAGAAATCACGCCTGAGATCGCTTCTAACCATTATCGATGTGTTAAGCTCAACAGGTAATTTTTCCTCTTTTCTGCATAATTTTTGTTTTATAAGTAAATTTTTCGGTATTTCAGCGATCTGAACGAGGTTTTGAAAGACCATCAAGGAGTGCCAACAATTACAGTAGACGAGAATTTAGTCGAAATTGAGAGCGATGATTCAGTGCAAATTATTGAAGACGAGGATTCGGTGGAAGTTGTCGAGTTGACATCCCATCGGGAGCTGAGCATATGTGCAGATGTGACAGAGCAGCTGCGAGAAGATCCAGAGAAGCATTCCCCAGTGCTTTTATCGCAAAACGGAAGCAGAACTTATGAAACATCGAAGCGAAAAAGTACCGGCATTAATCATGGGCAAGAAAATATATCACCTGAGAGATTTGGTAAGTTCATTTCCTTGGTTTTAGCATAGTATTCTTATATCTGCCTGATCTGTGTCATTTCAGCGGCTCTGGCAGAGATTTTCTATAGGCGACATCACTAGGAGTTTGTTATGTACATATGCTCTTTTGGTTGCTTGTAATATTATCTGATCTGCTCGGGTACTGACTGTAATCTCGGAGAACTACTTCATTGGCCTTCCTTCAGTTTCGTAACTCTAAACTACTATCCCCTATTAATGATGTTTCATTTGACTAATGGGTTGTAGGAGTAAAAATCCGAACGTTTTTTTTTTGTTGTGAAGTTCTGACATAATGGATTCTGTCTATGATAAATTTTGCACGGTTTTTGTTGAATTCAGCATCACTCGATTCAGTATAGTCTGACACATGTAAGCAGTGTCCTTCCTCTGTCCACCTCCCCTTACCTTCTAGTAAGGCTTTGGCCATACTTTTACCATGTTACCCGTGTTACCGGTGTTACCAATGTTACCTTTGCTACCAGTACTCGTGTTACCCGTGTCAATGTTACTCGTGTACTCGCGTTACTTACTTATATGTTGCTAGTGTTAATAGTGTTACCGCTTTTATTGTTGAAAGTGAAATGTTCAAAATACAGCCTCATTCTAGAACACAATCTCATGCACTGGTGAGTGACACGAGTAACATAGAAACACGGGTAACACGAGTAACACTGGTAACACGGGTAAAGCCTAAGGTACCGCCCACTTGGAGTAGCAAAATACCAGGTGGAAGCACTGTGATTGGGAGAGCCCAGCTTATTCGAAAAACTCGGTCCACTTATTGATTTTGAATTAGCTCCTTTCGTCTGAAAAACTTCAGCCACTCTAATCTTTACGAAATATGCTGTTCTGCGATGCATGGCATAGGAAGTGAGCTGCAATTTATGGTGATCAGAAAAGTTGAGAATCAATCTGCAAGGGAAAGAAGGTTGGTCAAAGTGGCCTTGTTAGATGAATGGTGCAATGTCTTGTAGAGCTTGGAACGCTAATTTAGTCTACCTTTGCTATCTGCTGCGGGCTTTTGAGGAGTTATGAAGGTTTTTGTGAGTGGAAGGTTAGATGCAAAGTTAGTTTGAAAATAGTCGTAAACTTTCCTAACGTTCAAATGAGGCGTCAGCGAGTTGGTATATTTGAGTCAAGAATATTCGTTGCACGAGTAACCCGACTATCGGTTAAGCTCTAGGAGAAATGTTGGGACTGATTTTACGCTAATTTTGCATTTAACTTTTTACTCACGAAAACCTTCATAACTCCTCGCTTATAGCCCGCAGCAAATAGCGAAGGCAGACATGAAGTCAATGTTCTAAACTCTACGAAACAGTGTACATGACGTCTTAGAAAGCCCCTTCGACCAACCTTCCCTCGTTAGGTTGAACGTGCAACAATTCATTGGGTTTAAAAGCAAGTTCAACGCATTTGGAGTTACCTTATCACATGATTTTGACTTGGGCTCTCAAAACTGAATGTAGGTTGTTTGATGGACTCTCAGTACATGGAAGAACAAAGCATTTCAGAACAAACAGAAGCGAAATTCTATGTCACTAAACATAGGTCAGCTGTTCTTGAAATACTTGTTATGTAAAACTGACACATTGACTGGTGCAGAGCATAGGTGCGATAGGGTGAGCAAAAGCTCACCCCCCCCCCCCTTCACTTTGGAGGTCGGACCACCCCCCCCCCCCTTCACCTGAAAGGGACGAAAAAATTTTTACAAGGTGAGGAATTACTGCACACGGAATTACAAAAATATTGAATGAAAAAATGCATTTTTAGAAGGATCGGATGTTGTAAAAATGGGTTCGAACTACAACGATATGGGCAGCGGGCAATGGCAGACATTGAGAGGCTTGAAGGGCGCTGATGGACAGCTTTATTGGAAAATATTGATGTGAACGATGTTATAAGAGCCATTGATCATGAATTTTTTTGCAAATAAATTGTTTTGTCGGTATTTATGTGCTAGAATAAAAGAATTTGTTGTTCATTTGTGTTTGCTTAGAGCATAATAAACATATAGAGTCCAGAATAATGATAAAAATAGTATAAATGATGTCAGGAGAAATTTCTAGGGCAGTATAGTTGAAATCACAGTGTTGGTCATTTTTAAGGAAAGTCAGTTTTTGAGTTAGTATAACTTAAGTCAGTTGCATAATATCATCTTGCGAGAGTATAGGCTTTAGTAAGTAACCTTTCCTCTATCACATAGAAAAAAAACTGGATCCTAAAAAGAATTCCTCTTAGAGTTACGAAGTCGCAAATAGAGCAGAAAACACAACTCCAAAAATCGATTTTTCGCAAATAACTTGTGTATATGTAAACGAATTTGAGATGCGAGGGTATAGGTAGATTCTACTCTTCAAGAGCTCTCGATTGATATATAGCATGTGGGGGTCCTATGTTTTTTAAGCCCTGCGAGGGTGGGTGAGCGGCCTCAGTTCAGGGTGCTCACCCCCCGCCACCTTAATGCATTAGAGAGGCGCCGGGAGGTGAGCAGGCTTAACTGAAACTGCTCACCCCCCCCCCCCCCTCGCAGGGCTTAAAATACATATTACCCCCACATGTTATATATCATTCGAAAGCTCTTGACGAGACGAATCCAATTATACTATCGCCTTTTTGATTTATTCACTTATACAAAAGTTACATTTGAAAAATCGATTTTTGATGGGTTTCTTTGCAGCTTCATATCTCGGCGATGGGGGCATTCCATGCTACACTTTTTTTTGCATCTTACAGAGGGAGGTTTACTGAGTCTTACCTATACCCTCGCAGAGAGATCGGATGTAGTAATGGAGAGTTACAGCAGGGAATAAAAGGCGCTTGAAAAACAGGTAAATTTTGAATTTTAGTTAGTCGGTCCCGTGGAATCTCTTTGCGAGGGTATAGGTAATACTAAATGGACCTCCCTCTTGAAGATGCAAAAAAAAATCAAATCATGAAATGCCCCCATCGTGGAGATATGGGGCTCTGACGTGGAGGGGGGGGGGGGTACCGTTGGAGCTATGAAAACTGTCTCACCTGGCAAAGATATTGAACTCACAAATTATATATCGTTGTATAGCTTTTGAAGGCTAGAATCCGAATCTAGCTCAAAATTGGCTTTAGCCCATTTATACAAGAGTTATACTAGAAAGCGAGCTACTGCAAGTTACACAAGTTAGAAAAAGTGACCTTGCTCAATTATCGTCAACGTCGTAGCTTCAACTTTACTGCCCTAGGAATTTCTCCTGACATCAGTTATACTAATCTTATCACTGTGCTACACTGTGTATGTTTATTCTGCTTCAAGTGGACACAATTGAGCAACAAATTTTTTTATTGTACTCCATAGACACCGACTTACGGATTTATTTGCAACAATAATTCCTAATCATCGCGGAGTCTCTTATTAACATTATCCACATCTGTACGTTCCAGGTAAAACTTCATTCAGCACCTTCCAAGCCTCGACTATCTGCCATTGTCCATTGTAATTTTCGGTCGAAATCACATTTACAACATTGCACGTTCCACCCACCTAAACATGCATCCTCTCACCGAAAAATGGTGTATGAAAATGAAATAATATTTATATAAATTTAAAACAATGTGCTTATAAACATTTCACTAATTTTATTTCATACAAATCCAGTTTAGAGAATTTGATCATTCAAACTGGATAATTTTATAATTTTCACCATTTTTTCAACCCCCCCCCCCGGTCGACGCCGGCACTTTCCAGACACCCTTCACTTTTGGGGGTCAAAATCAGCTGGGACACCCTTCACTTTCGAGGGACCCCGATCACCCCATCGCATTTATGGTGCAGAGTCTGTTCGTCGCTCACTCGAGAAGCTTTCGATTTGCGAAGCCTTACCGTATAGTCTGCTGATCTTGTCCTTCTGGCTGTTGCTGCTCGAGGCTGATCTGCAAAAATTCTTTGTTCCGTCAATAGGAGCTTGAGATCTCGATTGATCAGCTCGCGGGGCCTCTATCTTACTGATGGGAACTTACCTTCCGAACGTATCTGGCGTCCGCATTTGCAAGTGTATGGAGCACAGGTTCTGTAGTGTATATATATAGTCCTTCTGTATAGTGTGTAGTATTTTCCTTGGCTACAGTACGAGAAATAAAAATAGGTCAACAGTGCGAATATGACGCGTTTTTCGGGTTTTTTGCAAACAATTTGATTTTTCTCGAAAACTAGCGCTTGTCTAAAGCTGAAAATTCATGGTTATACTCCTAAAGGTTCATGCTACAGAATCACCCATGTGAGAGAAGCTCAGGATTGTTTTGGCAAAAATGTGCCGAACTTCGTTTTCTCAATTTTCAGCCATGGAAAAACCGCGAAAATGTGCATACATATGTCTCGTATAGTGAGTCCACGCGTGAGCAAGTTTGGAGCTCCCAGGACTTTTTTGAACAGAGATACGATTTTTTTTTCGTTTTTTAGATCTTTAGTGCCTTGTAAAATTTGGCTCCAAACTTCACGCAAACAAACCTGGCGCAAAGGCTCGGGCTTCACTTTGTAGAGCTTGTTTTGATCTATCGGTCGGTACCCCATTTACTTATTTTCGTGCTCACCCTGCCACCATTTTGCATGTTAAAATAAAAAGCGACGTTATTTTTCGGACAACCCAATAGAATGGGAAAACTGCAGATTCATGATGAACTTACAGTGAAGCATACAAAATTTTATTTTGAATATTTTACGGCATAATGAGAGAACTGTCACAGAAGTAGAAATTTGCTGAATGGGCATTGCAAAAGAGGAGTTGGTATATAGTAAGAGACCCTCCGAATTATAACGCGTGATTTTCAATCAAGCCATATTTGTCATAAGCAAATTCTTATCGTCACGCCTGTGTTGTGTAAGCTCTATATTAGGTTGGCACATAAGTAATGCAACTTTTTATATAACTTTTGTCTATTTGAACGTAGCGCATTCATTTTTTGGCAATATAAGGAATATGATGTAAGCTTCTAATGCACACATTTTTGCCGAATTTGACCATTTTATGTGAGGATTACGTAGGTTTACGGTACTATGGGAAAAATTTTAGAATGCATCAGATTTTGATGAAACTTGGCATATAGGGCTTATTTGACATGCTGATCACAAAAATAAGATCCGTTTCGCATGAAAAGGCCTCGTTCGTGAGATCAAAAGATGAATTTCATTTTAGCGACAAATGAATATGTATTCGTGTTTACCGCATGGGATTACCCTATAGTGCAAAGTTATAGCGAATTCTGACTTTTCGCAGCTTAGTTATTGACAAATTGCCTTCAAAACTTGACGCTTTTGACTTGTTCAACTTCT